ATGGGCAGCATTAGGAGTTCATGAATGTTTCATCACTGGAAATGTCCAAGCAAAGGCAAGAAAGCTATTGGAAATATTAGATGATTTCCTGCAGTAAGAGGAGGGCAGGCTCTTCTACCCTAGAACTAGTGTTTTATTAACATCCAGTTGTTCCTTGTGTTTTACTTCTACTTTGAATCTAGCTTCAATTACTAACAAGCTTATCTGAAACCTAAATATTACACTTAATCTTCCTCTTCCACATAAAGCCGTACTACTTATATTTGCTATGCATCTAAAAAAGAGCTATTTTCAACACAAGTGATTCAGAGCGAGATTAAATTGGAGGAGCTGGTTAAATCACTAGATCCTCCATCCGCTACCCACGTCTCCCTTCATAGGTTTCACAGGAGGGATTTGATCAAGTCTAACTCTACTCAAATGTAAGTATGCACATTTTAAATCCATTGGTATTACCTACATTTTTTACTAAATACAGAAATTTCTTAGATGTTTCAGAGTATAGCAGAAAATGGGCCTTGTAATCTGGCACTGTCAGTATATGTGTAGCTTTACTGGATCCCTCGTTCCCTCTTCATCTCATGGGAAGATTAAATTAGGGCATTTGTTTATATTAGGTACTCAGTAGATGTAGGCCCATTTTTCCAAAGACAAATGCTGTCTCTGTTAGCCACTGTGCTAGGAGATGCTCTCCATGTTTTGGAATTATTAAAAGACCTTTTGACTTGACTATGTACTGTTAGATAGCAATAGCCAAGTTTCTGAAGAACAAGGCAAGAACAAAGTCAATTTGGAATAAAAATCAAAATCAAGAATCTTCTAGTCCAACCCTTTCACAAGAGGAGGAGGAAACAATCTAAGGACATGAATTATTTATGTCAAATTATTTACTATTAAATGTTGGGACCAAAACCGCTTAGCTTCTTGCTTTCTAGTTCCAAAGCTTCTTTCCTTTTTACTACATATGTGTATATATTATCTCCCATAGAAGTTCACTCCCATTAACATGAAAGATAACAGATGATAAGAATTTAGGAAATCTAGCTACACTTCTGTGTTACGAATGTACTAATATGAAGTGATTGTGCTTTTTGCTTCCCTTTCTCAATGGCAAACATAAAGGCTATACGCAAACAAATCTGAACTTAAAAAATACTTTAATAATCATTCTCTGCTACTTCAAACAAAATACAGTCTTTGGGAGCATCCTTTCCTGCTTAATGTTGAATTAGGTGATACTTAAGATCCCTTCCTGTTTTAATATGATTATAAATATAGAAAATAGTAAGTAGTGTTCTCAAAAATTATATGTTCAATATAGTAGGTAAAACTTATGGACAGGAAAAAACAAAAATTAGAAAAATAGTGGCTTCCCAGGAAATTTTGAATTCAAAATTCTGAGACTAATATTTAACATTCACCATGAAGCATGGCAAGAAAGTTAGTTTCTTGATATCGGCAAGCTGGAAATGACTTACTTAGTTCAACTGTAAGTCATTTAAGTCAAGACTAAATAAAGCAGAAACAGTTTTCTACAACAAAATTGTCAATTGCATAAACTGAATGAAAAGATAAAATTTTCTATATAGTGTTCTTTGTTGGATCATTCATGCTTTCATTTGTTTCTTACCTAATTATTCTAGTTGCAAACATCTAAAACCCATCCAAAAAGTGAATTTTAATGAAAAAAGGTGATGATACAATATTAATTTTCTGTTCTATGTACTTTAGTTATTTAAGAAATGTATAGTAGCAGTTTGTTGTTGAAAAACTTCACAATGTGCCAATTTTTAAAACAGTGTATAAACATTTTCCCAATATGCTCTAAATTCCTCTCTACTCTAGGATACCAAAGCTCTCCTTATGATAATTCTTTTTGAAATCTTTTAATAAAGGTATGTATACATGTGGAATTGTATATTGCAACTTTAACATTAGTCACAGGACTTCTGTGAATACTGAAGAGAACAAATTATGAATAACAATGGTTTTAATGTTCTTGCTTAGATAGGTTTTATTTTTCTTTTGAAAAGAACATCAAGGCTTGACCATGATTCTCCTGAAAACATTGCTGCAGACAATGATGTACAGCAAATAAGTTGGTCTGGTTCTGTGTATCACATTTGTAGTCTTTTAATTGGTGGCGAACCAGGCAAAGAACTAGCTTTTATTAAAATCTGTGCTGCCTCTGCCCTCCACAGAAACAAGATGCCAAGTCACTTCAGAGCTTAGCATCTTTTTCCCAAGGGTTGTTAACCACTACTCTAACTTAGAGAGTCGATGGTGACTCATTTTCTGAAACTGAGGGCCTGCCTTACTGAATGTTAGAAATGAGATGCGGCAGCTCCAAGTCAACTGAATGAAACTAATAACAAACACAGTGTTCCATTAAGGATAAAACAGAAATTTATTTAATGTGGGAAGTCTTTTGATATGTTTGACTTTCAGTAAGAAAGACATGAAGATAATGAAAGGGTTCAGAAGAACAGCAAAGCTGACTTAAAAATAGGAAATAAGGGAGAAAAGTAAATGTTTAAAGAACAGAAGGCTAGATGGCAACAGTTTCTGCAAACATTTTAATTATAAGGAAGGAGAATGACTTAATGCAGAACTTGGGAGGAAAGTGGGTTTAAAAGCCCTTAAGAATTTAGGTTAAATTAAGGCAGAATTTTCTGATACATGAAAACCATCTTACTTCAGTTTTGGGGCAGAGGGTTCACTTACAGAACTCTTTGAGCTCTGGAATCATTGAAAAATTAATCATACTTACTAAATTATCTTTGGGCATCCCCATCCCTGTGTTTTAAGGCCACTAATAAGACCACTGATAAGAGTTAATTCTGCTTCAAGGTTAAGTTGCTCAGCATACCAAGGTAGGATAATTGGCTGTTGTTATCTCCTCACCGGTGCCTCAGATCTTAGACTGGCTTGAGCGTTCTTGAAAAGGAAGATGTTTATAACCTGCAGTAGGAAAAAGATTGAGGCCAAAGATCTGTGATCTCAGGTTAAGTTGCTTCAATGATTAAACTCATTTTCCTTTTCGGATAATGTAATCACCAACAATTGTCTTCATGCCAACAGAAAGGGCAGAAAATCACATACTTCTTAGGTAAGAAAGAAGGAAATCTATTCTCTCAAAACTTGAAAGGTATTAAGTACAAGGTGTCTTCCTGATTTGGAAATCTTCCAAACCCTGTATCGTCTTAATTTTTTCAGAAAAACACTTAGGGTCTTCCTGTAATTTAAACTTGTTTTTCTCCTTGCTTGGAAATACTGTTACCTACCACATAAAGGAATGAGTACTTCAAAGTAACATATCAGAACTGCAGTTGAAAGATACTTAATACCAGTTACGTAGCTAACATTTGAAATCCAAGAAAGAGAAGTCAAGAATTCCATGATTTGGTGTTTCCACATTCATCAGAAACATAACTGAATTTAATTAAGAGTATACCCATTTGGGACTTGCAAATCAAGAGAAAGATATGTTTACATGCTTTGCAAGGAAGTGAACATTTTGATTCTTCAAAATGTAGGTCGAGATAGTTCTCAAGTTTGATATGATAGAAGCGTGGCTTGGAAAAAGATAATCTTTAAAAAAAAAAAAAAAGGTCATGAAAAGAATAGAAGCCGAAAGTATGCACAGAAGAGAAGGGGGTAGAAGGAGCAACTGCAAGAATGAAGACAGCAGAATGCAGCTCTAGAAACGGTACCTGTCCCAAAGCGGGTCTGCACGCCGCTGTCGCCTCATACACTGCTCCTGGGTAGTTAGTTCCTCTACAAATTCCGGGGTGGGCCAAGGGTGGCAAGGTTCCTAAGGAAGGAAACAACAGAAAGGATTCTGTTCTCGGGAGTCCGGGAGCGAGGGGACCGTCCTGATGGGGAAAGTGGTGTCTCCATCCAGGGCTGCAAGGCTGTTTCCTTCGGTCCCTACTCAGCCCCAGCCTCGGGGCAAATCGAGTTGGGGTTCACCTGGCTGCCGGAGACCTAAGTTTCCGCTAGGTCCAGCCAGCACCCCGGCATTGAGTTTCCTCGGTCTCGCCAGTCGCAGGCTGCTGTCCCACGCGCGATGCCTCCACAGCAAACCCCTGAATTTGCCCGTTCCACTCCTATCCTGGCGCCCTCGGGGCGTGCTGGGGGCCGGGGCGGGGGGTGCGCGGGCCCGCGCCGAGGCGGTTGGGAGAGCTAGGACTCTTCGGCCGCACAGTTTCAGCGCTCGCTGGGCGTGGAAGGGCAGGGCGTCCCCCGCCCCGCCGACTGCGGGTCCGCGCGCCCGCCCCGGCCCGGGAACGTGTGGCCCGGTCTCCCCGGGGCGCACCCAGCGCACGCCCCTCGCCCGGGGACCTCCTCCCCACCAGCCTGGCCGGGCTGCGCGTTTCCCCGGAGCGCCGGCCGCCTGGCCGCTGGCTCGCTCTCCCTGCTGGCTGGCCAATCCCCGTTCGGAGTTCAAGATTCCCGCCGCTCCACTCGCACTACGCCCTCGCTCCCTGTTTTCCGTTTCTGTTTTTAACTTTCACTCGGGTGAAGCTCGATCGATCCTCAGCATTCATCTCAGAAGTCCCTCCAAGGGGGATTTAAAGAGGATCTCAAGCG